TAAAATAAAAAATACAGAGGCTGAAAGGTTAGACCGACTTTTCTACAAACATTAAACAGATGGCATCCAAGAGATGGCATCATTTCATTCCTGAATAACATTGTCTTTTGTACGAAATCTAAATTCTAATAAGATGCATTTTTTAGGTGACTTGGAAACTTGTCTAAATAAATAAATATATTAAGCTTCAAATCAGATTAGTGGGAAAGACATGTTTTTACATGAATATAAGACTTGTACTGATATAAGCATCAAGGGACAACTCAAAATGATGATTATTAAATATCAGGGACCATATCAAGCTGATTTTTTCTAATTGCTGATTGTTGCTACAAATGATAGTTACTGAAGCATGACACCAAAAGAGCAAATAAACTGCTATTCCTATCAAAATAGGCGTAATAAACAACTTCCTTGAAGAACCATTAAACTTCGCTCCTTGTAAAGGTGAATTGGGGAGGCTAGAGTGGAGGATCCTTTTGGTCTTCACACGTTTGGTATCAACGCGATAAAAATCACAATGATCACAATAGTGAAAATAACAGCAGCAGCTAACATTTGGGCATTTACTGTTTCCTAATCACTGTTGTAACCGCTTTACACGCGTACTTCAGTTTAATCATTTAACACTCCCCATTAAAAGAAGAGATTATCCCCATGGGCCAGGTCTGGGGAAAAGCATGACTTAATTTCTTTTTCATTACATTCCACCCTTTTATCCTTGGGTACTGAATGTCTAGGCTAACAAGGGTCATTAGATTTGGTAGATTAAGTCAGTAACTAGCTTCGCTTTGAGAATATTTTAAAGCAGTCATGATACAACATAACCCCAAAACACATTCTTTTATTGAGCCCCAGCAATACACAGACTGTTTAGCACAAAATGCGACTATCCTTTTTTTTCTTTCTTTATTTTTTGAGACAAGGCCTCGCTCTGTCGCCCACGCTACAGTGCAGTGGCGCGATCACTGGTCACTGCAACCTCAAACTCCTGCTCAAGCGATCCTCCCACCTCAGCATCCGCAGAAGCTGGGGCCACAGGCGCGCGGATGTGTGACTTTCTAAGGTCCGGAAGCCCAGAGCTACGCCGAGCAATCCAAGTAGCGAAAGTCGCTTTGACCCTGGCCCGCTTCCTCCGCGTCCTGGGAAGTATCGGCGTTTACCAGCTACCGGAAGTAACTGCGCGCGAAATCTCCCGCGGGACCTAAGCCTCTTCGACGAGATTTCTATAGCGCTGACAAATCAGTATCTCGCGAGAACTTGAAGAGGCACCGTGAGAATGAAAGCGGGTGCCCGCTAATCCCGGAAGTCAGACTGTTCTTTCAGTTCCGTGGAGGCTTTTTGATGCCGGTTCGCGTACACCTCTTGTTTGAAAGCGCTCAGCGGGACAATGCTGACCCGGGTGAGGCCTGGGGCCCGGCTGGGTACCTCTATCTGAATGAGACGCTTCTGGACGCGGCCGAGGTGGTGAGGGAGGGTGCTGGGAGGGGGGAACATCACCTTTGTTCGTCCACTCGCGAGATCAGCGTTTCTTTGACTTTACTGTCAAGCCCTGAAGTAATGCTGAGTGCAGTAATGCTGAATCCCTTCCGTCCAGCTCACAGACTTCTGGTACCCACTCCCTTCAGTTCTTGGAGGGCTGAGATTTGTTTTCTGTGTCATAGCGGTATCCCGGGAGCTTAGAACAGTATCTGTTACATAGTAGGCATTGAATACGCTTTTCTTGGATGAATAAATGAAACAATTGCAGGGAAGTTTCACGAGGAATTGGAGTGACTTTTTTCCCTCTAAATTAACTTTTCACTTAAAAATAATGAAGAGTTGCAAAGTTAGTACAGAGTTCTCAAATGCCTTTCACCAAGTTTTCTTGATGTCAACATCCACGGTGACTTTTTAGTTTCATTTAGAGACAAGGTCTTGCTCTGTTACCCAAGCTGGAATGCAGCTGCTCCATCATCGCTCACTGCAACCTTGAACTCCTGGGCTCAAGCGATCCTCCAGCCTCAGCCTCCCTAGTAGCTGGGACTACAGGAGCGGGCCACCACACCTGGCTAATTTTTTTTTTTTTTTTTTACTTTCCGTAGAGACAGGTCCTTGATATATTTCCCATTCTGGTCTTGAACTGGGAAATGATCCTGTCGCCTTTTCCATGCAAAGCATGAGCTAGCTGGAGTACAGTGGCGTGATATCGGCTCATTGCAGCCTCCACCTCCTGAGTTCAAACGATTCTCCCACCTCAGCCTCCTGAGTAGCTGGGGTTACAGGCGCCCACCACCACTCCTGGGTAATTTTTGTATTTTTAGGAGAGACGGGGTTTCCCATGTTGGCCAACCTGGTTTTGAACTCCTGACCTCATGTGATCCTCCCGCCTCCCCCTCCCACGGTGCTGGGATTACAGGGGTGAGCCACCCACCTAGCCCTTACAGTGACTTTTTAAAATTAATTTTGTTCCTTTTGACAGTTTACTCAGCCCCAGTAGATTCCGTTTTAACCTTTGCTTCACGTTTGGAAAATAATTATTTGGAAAAACCTTGCTTTTTCATAAGTAGGTAATGTAGGTAATGTAGTACATTTGGTACATGTAAGGTATTGCTTTCATTTCAAGAACTAGTAATTATCCAAAAAAAGTGTTCTTGTCTTGAAAAAAAAAAAAAGACCTTGCTAATGTTGACGTTCAATAAATCTGTAATAATATCACTATGTGTCAGCAACTTTTTCTTATCGTCATAGCTGAAAGCAAAATCAGAGGGGAAGCTTGCAAAACAGATTTGCAAAGTTGTGTTGGATCATTTTGAAAAACAGTATTCCAAAGAACTTGGAGATGCCTGGAATACAGTAAGGTTAGTATGATTCATCTCAATGCTTTGTGATGGGATAGACAAAGTACAATATGTAGTCCTCCTTTTTGTGGGAGGGATGCTCTAAGTATAAAAGCCAAAGGAATCTAAATCTGGTTGCCCTTTCCTACTGAAGCTATAGAAAGGAACAACTAAGAAGAAATAGATTGAATCATAGTATGAGGGAAAGGGGAAAGAAAACTTTCTAGGGATGGTAAGCACAAATTGTTATGCCTTTGCTTTGAGCAATTGCTTTTATCCTTGAAATAGGAGTGCCCACTAGTTTGACAAAATTAATTATACTGTAAAAGAAAAACCATGAAACTTGGAATAATTGACTGGTTTCTGAAATTTAGAAGATAATACAACAAATCTTTAAGGCCAGCACTGTTTTATCTTAGCCAAAGGTACACTTTATTCGGTAATCATATTTCTTTCCTATGTCGATGGCTGGGTATATTTGGAACACGTGCATATACACACAAAATTATTTAAATATAAAAACAAGGAATGTTTAACGCATGGAAGTGAGAGAAATGTGATTTGTCTGGTAAGCTGCTGTTAATGTATGGGTTACTGTATGGGTTCTTGACACTGAGTGCCTGATACACTATGTAACACTCTCTGGAATACAGAGCAAGACCATCTGCATGTCCAGTTTACATGCCATCTAGTTAATATTTATGGGAGAAGTGAGGAGATGGGTGTGGTTACAACTATATAAACTAATTTGTAAATACTGTGATTCAAGTATCTAACAAAGCCTGAGGGTACCAGCAAAGGCCTGAAGGGTAGCTGGGTCTTGGCGACTTATAGGATTTACTTTGACAAGAAGAACTAGACCTTCTAGGTAGAGGGAAGAAGGTGCACTGTTCATGAAGTTGGGGCAAAAGTCCCCTACATGTTGCGTGAGGAAGAAAGTTTCATGGCTACAGATAGTATCTGGAACTTGGTCCAGACTAATTTTTCAGATGGTTGGCTTGTCCGTTTTTTTCTTGGATCAACTCTTAAGCATTTCTCCTTTCCAAAGGGCAGTTCTAAGCATTTTTCTAAAACAAATTGAGTTTTGGCTAATAAAGATCACAAAGTCTGAGGTGATTCTGAGATAATTTTAGGACAATTAAGCTGTTATAGAAATTGGTAAATGCTGTGATATGCAAACCGTTTATATTTGTGGGTTTTATTTCAAAAGTATTGAAAATCTTCAAATGGGTATTTTCTGTCACAGTGATGAAAAACTGGATAATAAAATATGTAATAAATGCATGAGATTTTCAGTATACAAAGGTACTCAAGTAGAGTATCCAAATAACCAAACACTTATTGCATGCTTACTGTATGCCAGACAATGCTGACTTACATCATCCTCAGAACAAACCCGTTAAGAGTTTAAGTAACTTGCCCAAGTTCAAGTTCACTCAGCTAATGAATGGCAGAACTGAGGCTTGTGCCTAGATTGTCTGACTCAAGAACTCCCACACCCCGTCTCTACTAAAAATACAAAAAACTAGCCGGGCGTGGTGGCGGGCGCCTGTAATCCCAGCTACTCGGAGGCTGAGGCAGGAGAATGACGTGAACCTGGGAGGCGGAGCTTGCAGTGAGCTGAGATCGCGCCACTGCACTCCAGCCTGGGTGACACAGCGCGAGACTCCGTCTCAAAAAAAAAAAAAAGAACTCTCACAGCTCATCCTTGATCTATACTGTCTCATATCTGGGATGTGATTTAAAAAAAAAAAAAGACAAGATTTCAAGAGGTATCTTTTTTCTGTAGACTTTGTAGCAGTCTGGCTACTCATATTCTATAATGACTTATTTTTCTACTTAGTGTACGCAGAAAGTCGTATACTTTTATTTGACCCTAAACAAAATGAGCAGTGAACCTCAAATCCATTTAATTAGCTGTGCCTTCTGCTTCATCTACCCTATTGTTGAGTTTTCATGGTAATTTAAGTTTTGCATAAACACGCACTAAATTTGCCATAGGCAAAAATAAAGGTTTCTCAGCTTAGGAAGTAGTCTGAGCGTGGAAGATGGTATGGGGAAATAAGAACAGAATGGCATATTTTGTTTTTTAACTCCTTATTTGCAAGACATAATGTACTTGTAGAGTCTACTTCCAGGGAAAGTCAAGTGCTTTTTTTTTTTTTTTTTTGGCCTATTTAGAAAGTAACTTATTCAATATTTTTAGTTTCCTGTAGTAGTGAGAAATATTTAGTGTTTAGTTTTGCTCTTTTTTAACCTCTCTTGTCTAGTCATCCTCTGAGCAGTCGTTTAAAATTGAAGTTTACCCTGGTTCAATGTTTGCTCTCTTTGTGGCCTTCATGTTCTCAGGTAAGCCCATTCATGGCATGACTTTTATCACTATGCTGTCATCTCAAGCTGTGAGGTTCTTCCCAAGATTCAGTCCCGTACTTCTGTTTTTTAGCAACTTCAGTTACTTGGCAAACTCAAAAGTGTATTATTATTTTTCCCTTCCAAACCTATGTTGCCTTTACTACCTGCATATTTTATCTGAATTAAGTGTATCACCATCAGTCTGGTTTCCTCCTTTCTTCTCTATACCTTCACTGCCTTTGTAGTAAAAAATGAACCTTATATAAAAATAAGTCTGGCAACTGCTCTCAGCTCCGGGGTGGCAATCTCTAAGCCCTTGGAATGTCCTTCCTGATAAGTGTGTCTTTGTTTACCTGGGTGTTGAGGTCACACCTGATAATCTAACGATGTGATTTATGTTGAGGCCTGGGGTTCACAGGTGTCAACTCAACATCCAGAAGGGCTTGTGACTAAAAGCTGTATGGACAGTCAATCATATGTACGTGACTAAGCCCCAATAAAGAGTGGATACCAAGGCTTTGGTGAATGTCCCTGGTTGGCAGTACTCTTGTGCATACTGTCATACATTACTGCCAGCAAAAGATAACCTCGTTGGTGATTCCATTGGAGAGGACAACTGGAAGCTTCATGCTTTGAGTTGTTGTGCATTCTGCACTATGAGTCTCTTCCTGTGATTTTTTTAATCTGTATGCTTTCGTTGTAATAAACTGTGACTGTAACTGTGATTGTAACAGCTTTCAGTGAGTTCGGTTGTGTCCCAGTGAATAATCAAACCTGAGAATCATCCTGGGAATCCCTGAACTTGTAGTTGGTGTCAGTAGTGAGAGTTGTCTTTGAGACTAAACTATCCTGCCCCCTCTTAATTTGGATCTTTTTTTAAAAATGCAGTACTGCTGCCATTCACTTAGACCATCACAATCTCTTATATGGCATATTGCAACAGCCATCTTTAGTACTTACCTGTTTGCTTATTTTAGCAACCACTTCTGCTTCTTCCCAGTTTTGGCAGTGTTTGTGTATTAGGCATTGTGCTAAGCAATGAGAATACAAAAATGGACTGTATATATCCTGCCCTCAAATACGTGGATGATTACTTGGATAATTAATGGATACTTAATAAATGTGTGATTAATATAACAGTTAATTAGAAATCTTGATTAACTTTGGAAATTATACGTGTACTTTATAGAAAGCAAAACAAACAGAACGTATAAGTCTGAACTCTCTGCAACATCTTTTTTTTTGGACACTCTCCTCACTGACCCAGAGTTCACATACAGAGAGGTAAAACAATGTGTACCAGTCGATGTTGTAATCCCTTTGTGAATAATAAGAATCCTATGTACAACCCTCTGAAATAGTTACTATTTCCATTTATAGATAGGAAAGCTGAGGCACACAGAGGTTAAGTAACTTCCCCAAGTATACACATCTCACACTTTAACTTGCCCAAGTATACACATCTCACATTTTAACTTGCCCAAGTATACACATCTCACATTTTAACTTTCCCAAGTATACACATCTCACACTTTGAAGAGCCTTGAGAGTTTGTTTTACCCACTCTGTCATGCTCTTTCTCAGGGCTGCCAAATTCCACTGTGTCACACCTTGAGTACAAACCTCCTTTACTCCCCAGCAGTCTGCAGTACTATGTTTGGACTAAAGATCTTATATTTCTGGGCAGGCTCCTTCATGCTTTTGGGACTGGCTATGCTGTTCTGCTAGGAATGCCTTTTTCCCTTCTCCCTCTGTACAGTAGTGTGTGTTCAGATCCCACCTCTGCATCTTGTAGCATGTGACCTAGGTGAGTTAATATCTCTGTGCTCCACTGTCCTCGTCTGTAAAATGGGAAAAAATAGTCTCTATTTCATATAATCATTTTGGAAGAGAAAATGAATTTATGTATATACAATGTGAATGGAATGTTGTTTGACATATAGTAAGGCCTTCATATGCATTAGCATTATTTTTGTTATCATGGTTAACCACTTCATCAAGCCTTCTGTATGTCCTTTGTATAAATTAGTTTTGCCCTTCGTGTATCCATTGCATTTTCTTGATAGAACTATTGTAATTCTTTCAAGGTCTTCTTGTTACAATTTACTAACGTGCTTATCTTTTTCCTGACAAGGGAGGGTTTTGAAGAACCAATACCTTAAGACTTGGGCAAGTCTTCTGCTTCTTCCCAGTTTTGGCAGTGTTTGTGTACTAGGCATTGTGCTAAGCAATGAGAATACAAACATGGACTGTATATATCCTGCCCTCAAATACATGGATGATTACTTGGATAATTAATGGATACTTAATAAATGTGTGATTAATATGAGTTAATTAGAAATCTTGATTAACTTTGGAAATTATACATGTACTTTATAGAAAGCAAAACAAACAGAACGTATAAGTCTGAACTGTCTGCAACATCTTTTTTTTTTTTTTTTTGGACACTCTCCTCACTGACCCAGAGTTCACACACAGAGAGGAAAAAAATACACACACACACAATCAGTTAATATTACCATAATCTGTGAGGGGTGTAGTCCCAGGTGGTTAGGGAAGAGAGAAATGAACAAGTATCTAGATTTCTATATTGTCCTATATGTTGGCTTCACACACGTTTTCAGCCTTAATCTGTGCAAATCTCTGTAAAGAAGTAACCTTTAGACCCT